ATTCAGGTTTTCATGTCTTCTCTGTATTTAGTAAGGCTCATCATCAGTAATGGGGTCCTCATTGCCTGCCATGCATCTGTGTGATCCTGCTCCAAATACTGTCCTTAAGTGGGCTCTCTTGGGTCCCTCCTAACACCGACTGTCACAGATTGGGTTCCTTGATTCACTACAGGGGCGCCTTCAGCTCAGTTCATGATCCCAGGGTCCTGGGATCAAGCCCCACATCGGGCTCCCTGCTCCATGGGAAACCTGCTTCTCCCTCTCCCACTCCTTGTTTGTGTTCCCTCTCTCTCTGTGTCTCTCTCTGACTTGGTGGCAGGGCGGCTTGCTCTAGGAGGGCTAGTAGGAGATTTGGGCAGATCAGGCAGCCTGGAGGGCAGTCATTTACAGGGGAACTACCGAGGCTTCCCGTAAGTGGTTCCTGGGCCCCTCCAGGTGCAATCTAGAGTCGGAATGTGTCATTGATATCATTTTTAAATCTGCCAATTCGGCTTTCATTTCTGCCCTTAGAGACTCTATTGTCTTCACAATTGCTAGCCTGAATTCCATCTCAGACATCTTGGTTATATTTGCATCCATTTGTAAATCTGCTGCATAAGTCATAATCTCTGAGTCTTTTCTATTTTGGGGGTTCCTCCTCCTAGTCATTCTGTTGATGGGTGTTTGAGAGTCCAAATTATTGACCAGAACCCAAGCAAGATGCACCTGTCTTCTAGGGACCTTAGGGTTGCTGGCCTCTTGTTCTCCCAGCCTGTCTTCTGGGGGAGGGGCCTGCCCTGCAGTTACTCAGGCAACCCTGTTTGGGCGGAGTTGCCCTGCCCCCTGGGGTGGGGGATGGGCTCAGTGGGAACCAGTTTTTGGAGGCTTTTGTTCTCTGGTGGCTTTCCCTGGCTGGTTTCTGCACCTCTCCGAGAGTCAGAGCAGAAGAGACCCTTTCCAACCCTCTGCCTCTGAGCAGAGAGACCGCAGTCTGTTCTTCAGTGAGCTCTCCAGGCCACACCGTCTCCGTTTCTGTCCGTGCTGCTATAAACTGCAGCGTCCTGGGTTGTGCGCCCCTCCGCCGAACCCAGTTCGCACGTGCGGCCCTGCCGCTCCTTGTTTCTGCCCCGGGGGCTGCCCTAAAGTTCTTTCTCCACCGCTAGGGGTCTGGAGTCTGTGCCCCGTCCCCAGTGCAGGAGGCTGTCGCTCCCCAGCAGTGTAGGATCCCCACAGCCAGGCTCCCTCCCGCTGCCATTTATCCTCTGATATCTGCCCGCGGAATCATGGTTCCCTGCTTCCTACCTCCAAACCAACCGCCTGCGATATTCTGTTTGAAGAGATCCAGATCTTCTTACAGCTCAGGCTGATTTCGTGGGTGCTCAGAGTGGTCTGGTAGATATCCAGCTCAATTCTGGGGACCAGTGGAATTGGGTCCCTACTCCTCCACCATCTTTTTTCAAGGACCTAGATTAGTTTTTACCTTCATTAGACTTACACATGCACACACTTCAAGAGGCAAATTGTTCTGTACCTTCACCATATGAAAACTGGAGCCTCCCGACCTCCCTCTATTTTCCATCTCCCAGAGGCAACCATTTTCCACTCCTTTAATTGATTATTTTTAACTGATTCTTCTAGATTGTATTGCCAGATCTCACAGAGCATGCTTACATTGTCTCAGCTTGACTTCTCACCCATAGGCATTATTCACTGACTTCCCACTCTGGATGATGGGGATGCAATGCTTTGTTATTACGGACCCCACACCAAATGTGCGTATATCTACTCCACCACCTTAATATTTTAATTTTATATAACGTCATAGTCAGTATCTGCATTATAATGGCAATGACATTGTGTTTTATAGCTTAATCCTTTTTTTCCTTTCAAGATTTTATTTAAAGTTAGTTCACATATAGTGTACTATGAGTTTCAGTGGTAGAATTTAGTGTTTCACCAGTAACATATAACACCCAGTGCTTATTACATCAAGTGTCTCAACCTTGTAGCATTCCCAGTTATTGTTTCCATTGATTCGTTCAAGTGTATTTTGTGCAGCCGTCAACATATTCAGGGTAAAGAACAGTTTCACAGGTGCAGAGGTTACCCTTGTGCTAGCCTCTCTTAGTGACAGCCAGCCCCACCACCCAAACCTCTGGCACATGCCAATCTGTTCTCTATAACTTGAAGAATGTTGTGAAAGTGGAAATACACAGTATGGACATTTTGAGATTGATTTTGTTCACTCCACATGATGCCTTTGAAACTTACAAGTTGTGCACATGCAGATAGTTATTCTTTTTTATTGCTGAGTAGTATTTCCTGGTAGGAATGTACCAGTTTGTTCAACCATTCACTTATCACTGGGCATTTTGCATGTTGCAAATTTTTGCCCATTACAAAGAAAACTGTTCTAAACATTCACGCAGTGATTGTGTGAAGCCATGGTCTTCATTTTGCTCAGATAAATGCCTGGGAGTGTGATCTCTGGGATATAAAACCCACTTCCTCTCCTGGAAGAATGGAGGAAATGATGCTTTTTGTTGGAGGCCAGCACACACAACTTCTTTTTTTTTAAGATTTTATTTCTTTTTTAAGTAATCTCTGCACCGAACTTGGGGGGTCCAAACTCACAACCGCAAGATCAAGAGTTGCTCACTCCACCAACTGAACCAACCACACACCCTAAGCACATACAATTTCTGAGGTCCACACTGCACTGTGCATGTGGCCTATGTTTACCATTCCATCAATAAAGGGTTGGAATAGGGAGTCATTTCTGGAGCACACCTCATTCGACCCCAAAATGTTTTAAGCCCTGAAGAACCTATTTCTTCCTCCAGCTCAGTAGCTTTTTGTGGAGCCTGGTGCAGAATGAGGTCACAGGCCAACCACCACCAAGTGTCCTGGGCTCAGGAGGTGGGACACAGGCCCAATTGCAGCTCTTTCTTGGCTTGGGCCTCCCAAGTGGAGAATCACCATGAAGACCCGAAGAGAGGGAGAAGGGCCCAGTGCAAAGAGCAGAGGCCCTGGGTGTGCAGAAAGCATCATTTCTGCTGGGCCTGTCCACTCTCTCTGAAACGTAAGAGAAATTTCTTCCAAATTTTTGTATGTGATTGAGTTCCAGTTTGAAAGCATTCTGGTCTGAGAATATGCAAGGGATAATCTCAATCTTTTGGTATCAGTTAAGACCTGATTTGTGACCCAGTGTGTGGTCTATTCTGGAGAAAGTTCCCTGTGTGCTCAAGAAGAATGAGTATTCTGTTGTTTTAGGGTGGAATGTTCGGTATATAATTCCGAGGTCCATCTGGTCCAGTGTGTCATTCAAAGCTGTTGTTTCTTTGTTGATTTTCTGCTGAGATGATCTGTCTATTGCTGAGAGTGGAGTGTTGAGGTCTCCTACTATTAATGTATTATTATCAATATGTCTCTTTATTTTGGTTAACAGTTGGCATATGTAGTAGGCTGCTGCCATGTTGGGGCATAGTATTTACAATTATTTGATCCTCTTGGATCTATCCTTGTGGGATAGACCCTTTAAGAATGATACAGTGTCCTTCTGTATCTCTAACTACAGTCTTTAGCTTAAAATCTAATGGATGAAAGACCTCAATATGAGACAGGAATCCATCAAAATCCTAGAGGAGAACATAGGCAGTAACCTCTTCGACATCAGCCACAGCAACTTCTTTCAAGACACGTTACAAAGGCAAGGGAAAGAAAAGTGAAAATGAACTTTTGGGACTTCATTGAGATAAAAAGGTTCTGCACAGCAAAGGAAACAGTCAACAAAACAAAGAGGCAACCCACGGAATGGGAGAAGATATTTGCAAATGACACTACAGATAAAGGGCTGATATCCAAGATCTAGAAAAAACATCTCAAACTCAACACCCAAAAAACAAATAATCAAGTCCAAAAATGGGCAGAAAACATGAACAGACACTTCTCCAAAGAAAACAAGAAATGGCTAACAGGCATATGAAAAATGTTCATCATCATTATCCATCAGGGAAATTCAAATGATAACCACACTGAGATACCACCTTATACCAGTCAGAATGGTAAAAATTGACAAGGCAAGAAATAACAAATGTTGGAGAGGTTGGAGAAAGGGGACCCCTCTTACACAATTGGTTGGTACAGCCACTCTGAAAAACAGTGTGCGGGTTCCTCAAAAAGTTAAAAATAGAGCTACGCTATGACCCAGCAATTGCACTACTGGGCATTTACCCCAAAGATACAGATGTAGTGAAAAGAAGGGCCACATGCACCCAATGTTTGTAGCAGCAATGTCCACAATAGCCAAACTGTGGAAAGAGCCAAGATGCCCCTCAACAGATGAATGGATAAAGAAGAAGTGGTCCATATATACAATGGAATATTACTCAGCCACCAAAGGATTTATACCCAACTTTTGCATCATCATGGATGGAACTAGAGGAGATTATGCTAAGTGAAATAAGTCAAGCAGAGAAAGCCAATTATCATATGGTTTCACTTATTTGTGGAACATAAAAAATAGCATGGAGGACATTAGGAGAAGGAAGGGAAAAAGAAAAGGGGGGAAATCAGAGGGGGAGATGAACCATGAGAGACTATGGACTCTGGGAAACAAACTGAGGGTGTTAGAGGGGAGGGGGGTGGGGAATGGGTTAGCCTGGTGATGGGTATTGAGGGCACGTACTGCATGGAGCACTGGGTGTTATAAACAAACAATGAATCATGGAACACTGCATCAAAAACTAATGATGTACTGTATGGTGACTACATAACTTAATAATAACTAAAAATAAATTAAAAAAAAAAGTAAGAAGAGGCCCTTCTCATCATGTGAGGCCATCTCAGCCTGACTTCTGTTTCACAATCCAGAAGCAGATTGCTGCCCCACAGCCACGTCACTGCATCATGGACTCTTTCTCTTATATCACAGGAGGGGCGGAGTTTTCTTCTCCACAGAACAGAAGTCCCATCTCCTCAGCACACACATTTGCGGAGAGCAGGATCCACAGGCCTCCACAATGTCGGTCCCCACCTCCAGACCCTGCCTTCCTTACCTGCTGCTGGCTCTGCTGTTGGGACTCACAGGTAAGCATTGCCTTGGGGGAGACTCCCCATTCCCTGCCCCCTCGACCTTCCCCCACCCTTGGATATTTAGAGCCTCCAGGTAAGCACAGGTGTGCTACGCAGACCGTCCACAGAAGGCCACGGACTGGGTATCGTCTGAGAGCATGAAGTCAGGGATCTGAGCATTTCCTCTATGGATCCATCACCTGCAGCTGGTTACCAGAAGCATCCAAATAGTCGATGCAATTGGTAACAGTGACAACTTTGTGTGTGTTCATTGATCTAATATTCACAACATCCTTGCCTGATAGCTCAGATTGTACTCCTGATTTGTAGATGGGGAAACTGAGGCAGAGAGAGGAACCAGCCCAGTGTCACCTACCTGAGTCAGTGGAGCAGCTGGGATTCCTGTCCAGGCCACTCAACTCAACAGTTCATTCCATTCACCATCTTATGCTGCTTGGCTCCTCAGTGGAGGCTAATTTCAGAAACATCAGAAAACACAGAGTGGCAAACAGAAGAATAGCCATCACTTATCACACTCAGAGGTCTCCAGAGTTCCACTTGTGCTGTGTGTACTCACAAACTTTTGTTAATGATGTGCTGGATGTTTCCAATATGCCAAAATTGTTACTGAAGTTTAACATGTATTATAATTTCACTTAATCCTCAAAACCATCTGTATACTAGCATGCTAGGTTACACTTTACATAAACAGGGAATGAACTTACGTGTGTGTGTGTGTGTGTGTGCATAGGAGTGGGCATAGGGAGGGGTACACCCATGCATGTGCCCACACACATGGGATTTTTGAAAACACTTTTTTTTCTACTCATATCACATCCAGTCTATGTGAGATGCACGTTGAACAGATGTTTGGTTCCCTGTTCTCAGGTACTCACCCTCTTTTTTAATTCTCTAAACCTACCTCTCACCCTCTACCAAGCTCTTAAGTTAAACAAATTTCTCTCTTGGTAAAACGCGTAAAATCTTGTGCATTACTACCTTAGAGATCCTTCCATGCAGTACTCAAGTGGGCGGGGAAAGAAAGGAATAAAAATTCGGAGATTCATGCCTGTGTGATCTGCATCTATAATTATATCCATATGCATATCACGATCCCAATCATCTAGTGTCCACTGATATTTCCATGCCTCAGGAAATCTCATGAGTGATAACTTTCTAAATTCCTGAGCACTCACCATGTGCCACACACACCTGGAAATGCCTATGTCCATCATGTCATGTGATCTTTGCATCCAAGGTTGACATTCTTGTCACCCCTACCTTGCAGATAAGAAAAGGAGGCACAGAAAGGTCCAAGGTTACTCAGTATAAATGGTAGGGTTAGGATTTGAACCGAGGCAGTCTGATTCTGGATCTCACAGGTCCAACCATTGCTCTTTTCAAACCCTAAGGCCCCACTTCCATCCCATGAGATTTCTGCAGATCTTCCAATCAGTGTGGGGAAGGGTTTGGTGTGGTGAAGAACGTTTGTACTTTGTTTTCTCAGGTGCCTCTGCTTTCTGGTATATGCAACTGTTTCTTTCCTCCAAGTCATCTATGTGGGAAACTCAGCTTCTGATATAATGTCCTGAGAAATTCTCCACTGAAAATAGACTTCATGGTCTCAGATAGGGGTCACATCGGGCAATTCACACATTATACAAATATTAACTATATACCTACTAGGGGACAAGAACTGTTATATGAACGTAGGGCATATTGATGAATAAAAGAGGCAAAGTAGTGCCCTCATAGAAGTCCCATCATCGTGGAGGAAAGGACAGGAGACAATAGACACAACAAATCAGTAAATAACACAGAGTACAGAAAGTGATGGGTGAAGGAAAACACATGACAGTACAGCTGGATATGACAATGAGAGAATCTTCAGGGTAAGACGTATTTGAACGGGCAGCCTGGGTGGGCATCATTGAGAAGGTAGAATTGAGCAAAGATTGTAAGAAGGTGGGGGAGTGAGCCATGTGATATTCTGGGGGAAGAGCCTTCCTGGACAGCATGAAAGTAGAATCCTCTTGCTCTGCTCAAGGATCTGGGCTTTTATTCTGAATGAAATGGTGGCTATTGCAAGGTTTGGAAGACAGAAGTGACATGATCTGGCGTTAGTTTTAGAGTATTCTAGCATTTGTTTGAGAATGGAGTACCACAGGGCATAGATAGAAGCAGCTAGAGCACTCAAGAGCTCATTGCATCCAAGCAAACGAGGAAAAGCACCAAGACAGCAGCCAAGAGGACGGGGAAAGAGGTCAGATTGTGGGTGCATGCAGCAGGGGAGCCCTTAGGTGTCCTGGTACATAGGACTTGAGGTGGGAAAGAAAGGCACCCAAGGGTTGGGACCTAAGTATCTGGGAAAATAGAGGGGCCTCAGCTGAGATATGCAAGCATGTGTGGGAAACTGAGTTTTGTTTAGGACATGTTGCTGTGATAGGTTTACTTCTATCTAAGGAAAAACTCAAATGGTGTTTGGACATACAAATCGTAGTTCAGGGGCAAGGCTTGGGCCAGAGATGGAAATGGGAGGATTATAGATACACAGATGGTAGAGTTTTCCCCTTGCCTTGGCCCCTCTTGACTCTCTGATCCCTCTGACCCCTTCCCTCCCATGTTCCCTCCATGTAGCATTCCTATTTCTTCCCATGTTTGTCTTAGCAGTTCAGCTTGCCGACCCCAATCTTCTTCTGCCTGTAATAGCACGTGCCCTCCTTAGGAGGCATGTTTAGTTGCAAATAATCCTAAGAGCATGGGTTTTACCAGCTCACACTCTGCAAGGGTGAACCACAGATTTTCTCCCTGAGGAGTAGATAAGAAATGGAAAAGAACACTGGGTGTATGAGTCGTGCCACAGCATTCTGCTCCTCTGATTTAAATCCCTGCCTGGTTTTTAGGACACTTCAAGTAAGAAGGAATGAGTTCATATTTCTTGATGTCTCCAGACACTGGCTAGTCACCAAGGCAGGAAATCCAACTGCAAAGTCAAACCTGCTCTGTGCCACATCCCTGAGTGTCTCCATGTCTTCATCCTCATTTGTGATACAGTCTCACATTACAGGTTCGTGGTGAGGGCTGCATGCCACGTACATGCAATGTGCCGAAGTCTAGGCCCACTCACGATGTGCACTCAGTCAGTGAGCTGTTGTGGATACACACGTGAGGAGACATCCAGGATCATGTCAGGATGATCTTTGTTTTCCCTCCAGGTATGGCAGGTGAGACGGAGCTGCAGGTGATCCAGCCTGAGAAGTCAGTGTCTGTCACAGCTGGACAGACAGCTATTCTGCGCTGCACCCTGACTTTCCTGCTCCCCAGTGGGCCGGTTGAGTGGTTCAGGGGAACAGGGCCAGCCCGGGAGTTAATCTTCAGTTTCAGAAGAGGCCACTACCCCCGAGTGACAAATGTTTCAGACACCACAAAGAGAAACAACTTGGACTTTTCCATCCGCATCAGTAACATCACCCCAGCAGACAGCGGAACCTACTACTGTGTGAAGTTCCAGAAAGGGGCCCCTGATGTGGAGTTTAAGTCTGGACCAGGCACTCAACTCATAGTGAGCGGTGAGTATGGCCTGGTCTTCCTTTGTCCCCTGGTTGTGACAGCACGTCAGTAAGATTGCCCACCATTGTCTGAGCAACAGCTAAGGATCAGGTTCTGAGGTGAGTGCCCCTGACTTCAGCCCCTTCCACAGATCAGGGAGTTGAGGCCTGGGGAGATCATGCTATTTGTTCAAGGTCCCAGGGCTGGAAAACAGTGGGAAAATCTAGAACTCCAGTCTGCGGGCTCCACTACTCTTACCATTTCCAGTCCTGAGCAGCCCTCTTGTCCAGGGATGAGGGATTAATAGTCTGAGTGACTTGCCCAGTCGTATGGTCCAAACTTACTCTTTCTTTAAATTTTTTTATTGTTATGTTAATCACCATACATTACATTATTAGCGGTTTTTCTTGAGTGTATAAGTATTTTATTTATTTATTTATTTTTATTGTTATGTTAATCACCATACATTACATTATTAGCGGTTTTTCTTGAGTGTATAAGTATTTTATTTATTTATTTATTTTTATTGTTATGTTAATCACCATACATTACATTATTAGCGGTTTTTCTTGAGTGTATAAGTATTTTATTTATTTATTTATTTTTATTGTTATGTTAATCACCATACATTACATTATTAGCGGTTTTTCTTGAGTGTATAAGTATTTTATTTATTTATTTATTTTTATTGTTATGTTAATCACCATACATTACATTATTAGCGGTTTTTCTTGAGTGTATAAGTATTTTATTTATTTATTTATTTTTATTGTTATGTTAATCACCATACATTACATTATTAGCGGTTTTTCTTGAGTGTATAAGTATTTTATTTATTTATTTATTTTTATTGTTATGTTAATCACCATACATTACATTATTAGCGGTTTTTCTTGAGTGTATAAGTATTTTATTTATTTATTTATTTTTATTGTTATGTTAATCACCATACATTACATTATTAGCGGTTTTTCTTGAGTGTATAAGTATTTTATTTATTTATTTATTTTTATTGTTATGTTAATCACCATACATTACATTATTAGCGGTTTTTCTTGAGTGTATAAGTATTTTATTTATTTATTTATTTTTATTGTTATGTTAATCACCATACATTACATTATTAGCGGTTTTTCTTGAGTGTATAAGTATTTTATTTATTTATTTATTTTTATTGTTATGTTAATCACCATACATTACATTATTAGCGGTTTTTCTTGAGTGTATAAGTATTTTATTTATTTATTTATTTTTATTGTTATGTTAATCACCATACATTACATTATTAGCGGTTTTTCTTGAGTGTATAAGTATTTTATTTATTTATTTATTTTTATTGTTATGTTAATCACCATACATTACATTATTAGCGGTTTTTCTTGAGTGTATAAGTATTTTATTTATTTATTTATTTTTATTGTTATGTTAATCACCATACATTACATTATTAGCGGTTTTTCTTGAGTGTATAAGTATTTTATTTATTTATTTATTTTTATTGTTATGTTAATCACCATACATTACATTATTAGCGGTTTTTCTTGAGTGTATAAGTATTTTATTTATTTATTTATTTTTATTGTTATGTTAATCACCATACATTACATTATTAGCGGTTTTTCTTGAGTGTATAAGTATTTTATTTATTTATTTATTTTTATTGTTATGTTAATCACCATACATTACATTATTAGCGGTTTTTCTTGAGTGTATAAGTATTTTATTTATTTATTTATTTTTATTGTTATGTTAATCACCATACATTACATTATTAGCGGTTTTTCTTGAGTGTATAAGTATTTTATTTATTTATTTATTTTTATTGTTATGTTAATCACCATACATTACATTATTAGCGGTTTTTCTTGAGTGTATAAGTATTTTATTTATTTATTTATTTTTATTGTTATGTTAATCACCATACATTACATTATTAGCGGTTTTTCTTGAGTGTATAAGTATTTTATTTATTTATTTATTTTTATTGTTATGTTAATCACCATACATTACATTATTAGCGGTTTTTCTTGAGTGTATAAGTATTTTATTTATTTATTTATTTTTATTGTTATGTTAATCACCATACATTACATTATTAGCGGTTTTTCTTGAGTGTATAAGTATTTTATTTATTTATTTATTTTTATTGTTATGTTAATCACCATACATTACATTATTAGCGGTTTTTCTTGAGTGTATAAGTATTTTATTTATTTATTTATTTTTATTGTTATGTTAATCACCATACATTACATTATTAGCGGTTTTTCTTGAGTGTATAAGTATTTTATTTATTTATTTATTTTTATTGTTATGTTAATCACCATACATTACATTATTAGCGGTTTTTCTTGAGTGTATAAGTATTTTATTTATTTATTTATTTTTATTGTTATGTTAATCACCATACATTACATTATTAGCGGTTTTTCTTGAGTGTATAAGTATTTTATTTATTTATTTATTTTTATTGTTATGTTAATCACCATACATTACATTATTAGCGGTTTTTCTTGAGTGTATAAGTATTTTATTTATTTATTTATTTTTATTGTTATGTTAATCACCATACATTACATTATTAGCGGTTTTTCTTGAGTGTATAAGTATTTTATTTATTTATTTATTTTTATTGTTATGTTAATCACCATACATTACATTATTAGCGGTTTTTCTTGAGTGTATAAGTATTTTATTTATTTATTTATTTTTATTGTTATGTTAATCACCATACATTACATTATTAGCGGTTTTTCTTGAGTGTATAAGTATTTTATTTATTTATTTATTTTTATTGTTATGTTAATCACCATACATTACATTATTAGCGGTTTTTCTTGAGTGTATAAGTATTTTATTTATTTATTTATTTTTATTGTTATGTTAATCACCATACATTACATTATTAGCGGTTTTTCTTGAGTGTATAAGTATTTTATTTATTTATTTATTTTTATTGTTATGTTAATCACCATACATTACATTATTAGCGGTTTTTCTTGAGTGTATAAGTATTTTATTTATTTATTTATTTTTATTGTTATGTTAATCACCATACATTACATTATTAGCGGTTTTTCTTGAGTGTATAAGTATTTTATTTATTTATTTATTTTTATTGTTATGTTAATCACCATACATTACATTATTAGCGGTTTTTCTTGAGTGTATAAGTATTTTATTTATTTATTTATTTTTATTGTTATGTTAATCACCATACATTACATCATTAGTTTTGGATGTAGTGTTCCATGATTCATTGTTTGTGCCTAACACCCAGTGCTCCACACAGAACATGCCCTCTTTAATACCCATCACCAGGCTAACCCATCCCCCCACACCCCTCCCCTCTAGAACCCTAAGTTTGTTTTTCAGAGTCCATCGTCTCTCATGGTTGGTCTCCCCCTCCGATTTACTCCCCTTCATTCTTCCCCTCCTAGCTTCTTTTTTTTTTTTTTCTTAACATGTATTTCATTATTTGTTTCAGAGGTACAGATCTGTGATTTAACAGTCTTGCACAATTCACAGCACTCACCATAGCACATAACCTCCCCAATGTCTATCACCCAGCCACCCCATCTCTCCCACCCCACCCCACCACTCCAGCAACCCTCAGTTTGTTTCCTGAGATTAAGAATTCCTCATATCAGTGAGGTCATATGATACATGTCTTTCTCTGATTGACTTATTTCACTCAGCATAACACCCTCCAGTTCCATCCACGTCATTGCAAATGGCAAGATCTTTGATGGTTGCATAATATTCCATTGTGTATATATACCACTTCTTCTTTATCCATTCATCTGTCGATGGACATCTTGGCTCTTTCCACAGGGCCCAAACTTACTCTTGCCTCCCGAGAGTGCTCCCTCTATGTGGCGGACTCTTCCCTACTCAGCACTTACTGAGCCCCCGCTGTGTTCAGGCTCTGCTCCTTGTGCTGGGGAAGTTCAAGGAACAAAGCCAATAAGGGCTCCTCTCTCATGAAGCTTACATTCCCTTCCCTTCCCGTGCACTCAGGACAGGGAGGTGGGACAATGTCTTCTTTCTCTCAGCTTCAGAAGAATCACAGTGAGAAGAGGCACAGGCTCACTGTTTATTCTGAGAGCCCGGGTTGGAGAAGATGCCAGAGGTTGGGCATTTGTTGTGTGTCTGTTCAGAAAAGCTTCATGCAATTCCAGGACTGACTCACGTAATAGCGACTGAATCTCCCCACAGTCTATGGACAGAGGCATGGAGGTGGCTGTATCCTGATTGTGCACATGTTACAGAAGTTCCCAGGGGTACTTCCCATGCCTGGGCACCAGCACTAGTACGTGGCTCCACCACCAGGCAGATCTGTGCCTCCTAGGAGAACACTCCTTCCTCCTCCCCAAGCTGCCCACACAAGTGATGCCCTGGATGAGAATGGATGGAGTCAGAAGGGACCATCTCAGCCCCTTTTACAGATGAGGACACTGAGGCTCAGCAGAGATGGCCTGAGCAGGGAAGGGAACCACAGCCTGTCTCACAGCCCTGCTCTCTGCACACTCACTGTGCTGGCCAAAGTGGGAGAAAGTTCCAACCCTGTCCTTGAAACTCTTGTAAATCTTGTATTGTTCTGTATTTCAGCAGTAAGCATTAAGAAAACTCATGGGGAGAGGTGGGCTAGCTTTGCACCCCGAGATCAGACAGATATGCAAACATCTTGTAAAGTGTTGAGCCTGTTCCTGGAGGGCATGGCTCCTCACATGTAAGAGCATCAGGAGTCTTTCCCTGTTGTGTGGTGTTGCTCCTTCACTGAGCAACCTGGGGCAGGAACCTGGACAGAACAGAGGGGCTGGACAATCCCAGCAACACTGGGCACCCCATTCCTGGCTCTGCAGACTGAGGATGACTGGGAGGCACATCCTGGAGGGTGTTTTGGGTCCCCTGAGCAAGAGTGCATATTCTAGACTCAGCCGTCGGGACCCCACATCTTCCCTCTGTTGTAACAGAGTTAGCAGGTCTGGGCACCCTGAGGGACCCCTCCCCATAAGTGCTTGCAGTGGAGAATCTCAGAGGGAATAGGAGGGTGGCCGACACTGTCAGGCTGGAGAAGGTGACACCCTTGCTCTGTTGTGGATGAAACAGCTGGAGGCCACAGGAAGTCCCCTGGGATGCAGTGAGGAGTGAGGAGCAGCCCCTTCGTAACTGGACCAAAGTGGGTTGGCTCCTTGGTGAGGTAGAGACAGAGACTACCCAGGGGGAGCGCTGGTACCCACAAAGTTGTCTTTATTTGTACAGATAAGGGATCACAGGGAATAATTTCCAAAGCCCTGATGCTAAACCGGGGCAAGCAGGTTCTATTGATTAGGGTCGAGATGAATATTCCGAGGGGGATTTTAACAGTATAATGAGGCTGAGGTTACTGTCAGCCATTTTGTGATTCATCTGCTCCTTTCCATCTGCATTTCAGTAATAAATTCTAAGCAAAACTGCTCGCATTCTCTTACTTGCCCCTCCCTGCAACCCCGGGAAGGAGAAAGGCATGCTGTCCCATGTCACAGAGGAAGAGCCACATGGTGCCACGGCCACGCCTCCCGTGGGCTGGGCAGCCTGGTCCCGGCTTCCGTGGGGGTCCCGCCCCACCCCTGCTTCCCCTGCAGGGACTGCTGCACAGGCTCTCTGAGCTCAGTGAGGTTTGCAGGGAGGCGGCTAGGATGGTTGATACCAAGAGTGAGACCCATCAGAAATGTCGTTCCTGTGCCCAGATCGGTGGGAAGTCACCTGGCAGAGATGAGAAGGGGGACTTGGACTCAGGCCTGGAACTGCACCTGGGCCCTGCTTCCCGACTCAGAGTTCAGCTCTGGAAACTCGGGTCCTCCTCTGTGGGATGAGGAGATGACACGGCCCTCCCCACACGATCAGAAGGGCGGGGGGTTCTCCACAGTGTCACACACATATCCTTAGTGCTGATGACTACAGTCATGCTTACTATTCATAAATGCTCCTCTTGTAGCCAAACCCTCTCCCCCCGTGGTGTCGGGTCCCACAGCCAGGGCCTTGCCAGACCAGACCATCAACTTCATCTGCAAGTCCCACGGCTTCTCCCCCAGAAGTATCACCCTGAGATGGTTCAAAAACGGGAATGAGCTGGCAGCCCTCCAGACCACCGTGGACCCGGAGGGAAACAGCACTTCTTACAGCATCTCCAGCACAACCAGGCTGGTGCTGACCCCAGGGGACTTTCGCTCCCAGGTCATCTGCGAGGTGACCCACGTGACCCTGCAGGGGGGCTCTCCTCTTCGTGGGACTGCCAACTTTTCTGAGGTCCTCCGAGGTAAATTCTCTTCACCCCAGCCCAAACCGGGTCTGGCCCCCAAGTCTGAGCCTGCCCCTCCCCCCACTCTCTGCCCCAGGATGTCCATTGCCTGGAGTTGACTCCTGACAGACCCTCCCAATCACCCTGCGTCTAGATGTTCACTCACCTCCTACTGTTTTCATGATAGCTGCCTGGTGAACACCTATCATGTGCCAAGCACTCTGCTAGGCAGTTTACTTTACCATAGCAATTCCAGTTATTGAGCACCTACTGTAGTCCAAGCCACTGTGTGCTTGGTGATTTCATTTATTTTTCTAGTTATTCTATTCCAACTACATGCCATGGGCTGAGTATCTTGATTTCACTCATTCTTACCCTAATAGGAGATACAAGTCCTTGAGCACCTACAGTGTACTGGGCACTGTGCTTAAGAATTTCATTCATATGCAAAGACTACACTCAGTGTTTGTGCACCAGCTGCATACCTAGCACTGTTCTGGGTGATTCTCTTGCTGTGTCATGTGAGCTAAGTTCTGGAGCTCACATGTGATCTGTCTATTCCATAAGGTCAGAGCTTCTGCTCTATGCTGTTTCAGTTCCACCCATCTTGGTGGTTTCCCAGCAGTGCACTGCAGAGAACCAGGTGAAGATCACTTGCCAAGCAATGAAGTTCTACCCCCAGCGCCTACAGCTGACCTGGTTGGAGAACGGAAACGTGTCCCGAACAGAAACGACCTCAAGCATCACAGAGAACAAGGATGGGATCTTTAACTGGATTAGCTGGCTTCTGGTGAATTTATCTGCCCTCACAGAGGAGATGGTGCTCACCTGCAAGGTGAAGCATAATGGCCAGTGGGTGGTCACCAAAAGCCATATACTGGAGACCTCTGCCCACCAAAAAGACCAGTGTACAGATGGAAATTCTGGTGAGGCTTGTGCCACATGATCTGGCATTTAAATTTTATCTTTTGTTTTTTTTTTATGTGAAAAGTAGTAATTCATGCTTATAATAGAATAATCCAGAAGTCTATAGATATAAACTAGAATTTTGATGTGAGCTCCTTTCTCCCAAAACCCACATTCCAGGATGATCAATGGTAAGACTTGATATACTTGTAGATCTTTTGACATAAATATGCATTAGAGAAAGAAAGAAGAGAGGGAGGGAGATGATCTTGTTGTTAGGGTCCTGCCTCCTGCTTCTTCACCTGACAGTGATTACGTCACAATGCCAGACCAGCCAACCCCTCCTCTTGTTCTTCTCAACTGGGTGTGATTTTTATTCCTTGTAGACTTTTTCATCATCATCCCAGCAAATACCTCTTAAAACCAGAAGTATGCAGAAGTTTCATCATTGTGCCCACTAACAACTTAGTCATGGATGCACATCTAGTCGCAAATGGAATCCACAATTCTGTAGTCATGTGATTAATGACATTGCTTTGTCTACAAAACCAATATGATTACACACTTCATAAAATTAACAATAATTCCCTCATATCATCTAAAATGGAATATATATTCAGATTTCCTGAAACATCTACTATAACTTTATTTTCTGCATCTAACTTGGTTTTAGTTCATCTGTAAATGCTTGAACCAGTTTTCCTGTGAAACACCTGGGCCTCCACAATTCTTTTGTTGATTTGAAAAGAATCTGAATGGCTAGGGCTACTCAAATTCTTCTTTCATATTGGATGCTCATGCCAAGCTGTGCTTTTGAGGAATTCGGTCCATTTTCTCTGAGTTGTCAAATTTCTGCCTATCATAGAGCTGCTCATAATATTACCTTGTTATCCTTAATGTCTGTAGGGTCAGTAGTGATATCCCGTTTCATTCTTCATATTGGAAATGTGTCATTTCTTATAGTGTTTGTTGTCAAGAATGCTAGAAGTATTTCAATTTTACCAATCTTTTCAAAGAATCCACTTTTGTTTCAGCGATTTTCTCTATTACTTCTCTTTTCTATTTTATTGTTTTTTCTTTTCTTTTCCCCCCTTCTTTTATGCATTTTAAATTGTGCCTGACCCTTTTATTCATATCTGTCCTTTTAAAATTTCCATGCCTCTCTGTATTTTTATTGCTGCTGTAATAATTAGCACACACTTAATAGCTTAAAACAACACACATTCATTAACTCCCATTGCTAGAGGTATAAAGTCTAAAATAGGGTGGCAGGACTGCATTCCTTCTGGGGGTTCTGTGGGAGTCTGTGTCCTTGCTGTTCCAACTCCTAGAAGCAGCCCCATTCCTCTGCCAAGGCCCTGCATGCACTAACCTCTGCTGTGGTTGTCACGCCTCTTGCTCCCACTTTCCGGCCTCCCTCCTTCACTTTAAGGGTCTCTGTGGCTCCAATTCCCATAGTCCAAGATAAGGATCCCCTCAAGACCCTAGCTAATTACCATGCAGTTGCTCTTGCAGGGTAAGATACCATATTTACAGATTCTGGGGGTGCCGGCCCAACCCTCTTGGGTCAGGCATACTTTGGAAGGAGTTTCAAATCTGTGTCTGGACCACAGGACACATTTCCAGTATTTTCTAATTTAAGATGGATTTAATATTGTTGAAGGGATTTCCAAATAATTCTCAGGTTCCTTGGCTACCTGCCCTTGTTTGTTTCTCCTGCCCTTTCCTGTGGCTGATGAAGGTAGTGGGGCAATCACATAGGAAATTGTGCATTTGAATTTCATGATTTTTCTCTTTTTCTCCCAGAGATTTCACAGTTTGGGCATTGCTCTTCAAGGACTACTGAGAACCAGTTTTCCATAGAATTTACTGTCCTTTTATTGTTTTTTCTTTGAGTTAAGAGGCTATATTCCGAGATGAGTAGCTAAGCTGTTGCCTTGTCCTCACCAGCCAACTAGCACCTTGTGGGCTTTGAATGCCTTGGCCCCAGTGTCCCTATCCCACATTTCAGTATCTCTTTACCATGTTTCCCATCACAGCCCTATTTTGGCAAATAGGTGCACTGTAGCCAAGAATTCAATCCTCTCTGTGGCGCTGATGCTCTTATGATTATATTGGACCCAATTATGTCCTCAAGCTTTTTCTGCCCTTCAGCTCTAGGAGGTAACAGTCTACAGTGTTGCCTGGAAGTCTTCTGATGTTCACAAAGAACTTTTCCTGTGTGATCAATTGGTCTTCACATTGTATTGTCTTTCTGTGAAGGACTGATGCCCAGCAATAGCCACCCAACCTGTAGTTCTTATAATGATCAACTCATTACCAGAATGCAAGGATACTCCCCTCCTCTGTTTATACCAACCCAGGTCACCACAGTGAGGTTTCAGCAGTGACAGTAGCAGGGCAAACTGGAACCTACCCTGCTCTACCTCCCATCAGGGCTGGGGACATCTTGGCCAGCCAGCTGATAGAGACCCATGTCCAACTGTGCCCATTAGAGCTGGCAATCCAAACCCCTCCCAGTCAAACCCTACATGTCAGCTTCCCTGGAAGCAGACTCTAAGATGATATGAGAAGAGAGAAAGCTCACTGTGGATTACTGCTAATCCATATTTGTGAGAAAGGGAAGGAGGCAGGACTGGCAAAGGGAGATGTTAAAAACAGTGCAGTACAGCAAGACTCAGCCTGACAGAGAGCTGGCATGCTGGATGCTCTTTTTGAGTATATTAAATCCAGCAGAGGGGCTAAGCCTCTGTATCCCCACTTCCTCCAGCCCTCTGCTGAAGGCTGCCCTCTAGAAGCAGGTGCAAACATGGGCAATACAGCTCTTTCAACTGAGAAAAAGTCCAGAGGGCCACCCAGCAGAGATCTGCCATCCTCTAATATGCCAGGGGCAAATATGGTGAGCTCTCTGCTCCTTCCTTTAAAATTATTCCATATATTTCAAAAATTATTTCAATTTCTTCAAATAATATAAAAACAAAAACCAGTCATTGTAAAAAGTCAAAGAATCTGAAGCTGTATTTACAGATCCAACCCCTATGTCAAACAGAAAGATGTCAGCTGACATTGGCACTGGGGTCCAGGTGGCCTGGATGGTGTTTGAAACCCTCCTGAGCATTAGACCCCATTTCCTTGCCTCCCCGGTGTGTTGTCCAGCCAGCAGTTCTCCTCACCTTTGTACATAGAGTCTTTAAGCCCTGTGCATGGAGCAAAGCAGGGCAGCCTTGCCTCTCACTGACCATGACATCTATTCTCACTCCACTTGAGGCCAAGCTGACATTTGTCCCTATGACCCGCAGAGTTTGGATTTGTCCTGGCCCAAAGACAAGGTCTCAGAATCATCCTGCAGGACAGCAGTGAGGAATATCCCTGGGTCTGAACCACCTCATCTTTTGACCCTCTATAAACTATGAGCCTCTTTCCTCATCAGATAGAGGGTATACGACCTACCCAATTGGGTGTGAGGACCAAGCAGTAAACCAAACTTACACGTTACTGAGTGCTCATTCTCCCCATCTCTTCCCACCTGGCAGTAAGAAGGGGTGAGTGATTGAAGAACTTCTTACGCCAAATTCTGCCTTGAGCCTGATCACAGGGGAGGATATTAATGACCTCCAGAGCATTAATAAGTTTGAATCACCTGGGATGGAGTAAATGGAGGCCCCTGGGAATAGGACCTAGATGCCTACTCTGATGGTGCCTCCTATCTCTTCATTTCCAGACCCAGAGCTGTCTACGCCACTCCTGGTGGCTGTCACTCTGGGCCCAAAGCTGCTGCTGCTCATCATTGTCTCTGCCATCTATGCCCACAGGAAGAGAAGATCTGACTGTAAGTTGTGGGTCAGGGGTGGTAAGCAAATTTCAGTCCCAGAAGCAACCAGGTCAGGAAGATGGGCAACGCACAGGTCACACAAGGTCAGCACCCACCTGGAGTAAAGAGCAGGACACATCTATCTCCATACCCTCAGGAATCTCTGGGATCCCTCTGAGATGTTCCAAACTCCCAAGAAACATGTGGGGATCTGTAGGAGGTGGGTGGAGTCAAAGGCTATTAAGGGATTTGCACAGAGTCCTAGGGATTCTGGGAAGGAAGTGGGCAGAGGGGCTGAATGAGAGGCAGCTGGGTGGGAGGAACCCTTGGAGACAATCTCTAAATTATTTGAGCACTGGTGTCCTTTGGGTGCAAGGAGTCCACATCTAAGAGAATGCTGACAGATGCCGGATGGCGGCTGTAAGGATGGCTCCCGCCTGTCCCTCTGTGGGATAGACAAGAGGGAATGGGGATGGGGATCAGGCCCTAAGGGATGAAGGTTTAGGTGGCAGAGTCCTATATCAGGGGCTGCCTGTCCTCTCACAACAGGTGTCCCAGGAGGAAAATAGCACCGAGGACATAGGAGACACATGGGGAACATTTCTGGAATGATGAGCAGATAATTAACTGTGGTGAACATGGGTCCTATGGCACCTACCTTCCTCCCCTGCTACATGCCACCCTCAGTCTCTGCTGCCTCCTTCCTTCCCTGAGGGACCCAGCCTAAGAGAAGGAACAACTAGAAGCTTCCACAACAACCCTGCTCCAAATGCCTTGCTTCCCCCAGAGACCCAGCTGCCCACACCTCCTGCTGCTCCTTCTCAGAGTCTTTGATGCTTCCAGAGCTGGGTCTTCATATCAGGTCCTCAGCAGGGGCCATGGGAACTTGCTCTGGGGACTGATGCAGAGACTTGTGAGAAACAAGTCACATCTACACAGACCAGGTATCTCTCATCCATCTCCTGGAGACTGTGGCCACGAACTACACACTTATGTCCATGCTTTCAAGAGTTATTCCTGCCAAGCCCCAGCCTCCCCAGCTTTGGTTAGGTTCTCCATTGGGTCTTAAATAGAAGGCATCCGAGGTATCTTATGGTTTTTGGTGCTATTGTAAATGGAATCATTTCCCTAATTTCTCTTTCTACAGTTGCATTGTTAGTGTATAAGAAAGCAACTGATTTCTGTGCATTGATTTTGTATCCTGTCACATTACTGAATTGCTGCATGAGTTCTAGTAATTTGGGGGTGGAGTCTTTTGGCTTTTCCACATAAAGTATCATGTCATCTGCAAAAAGAGAGAGTTTGACTTCTTTGCCAATTTGAATACCTTTTATTTCTTTTTGTTCTCTGATTGCTGTTGCTAGGACTTCTAGTACTATGCTGAACAATAGTGGTGAGAGTGGGCATCCTTGACGTGTTCCTGACCTTAAGGGAAAGGCTCCCAGTTTTTCGTTATTGAGGATGATATTTGCTGTGGGTTTTTCATAGATGGATTTTATGAACTTGAGGAATGTTCCCTCTATCCCTATACTCTGAAGAGTTTTAATCAGGAAAGGATGTTGTATTTTGTCAAATGCTTTTTCTGCATCAGTTGAGAGGACCATATGGTTCTTCTCCTTCATCTTTTTTTTTTTTTAAAGATTTTATTTATTTATTTGACAGAGAGAGACACAGTGAGAGAAGGAACACAAGCAGGGGGAGTGGGAGAGGGAGAAGCAGGCTTCCCGCGGAGCAGGGAGCCCGATGCGGGGCTCGATCCCAGGACCCCGGGATCATGACCTGAGCCGAAGGCAGACACTTAACGACTGAGCCACCCAGGCGCCCCCTTCTCCCTCATCGTATTAATGTGTTCTATCACATTGATTGATTTGCGAATGTTCAACCACCCTTGCATCCCGGGGATAAATCCCACTTGGTTGTGGTGGATGATCCTTTTAATGTTTTATTGGATCCTATTAGCTAGGATTTTGTTGAGGATTTTGGAATCCATATTCATCAGTCTGAAATTCTCCTTTTTGATGGGGTCTTTGCCTGGTTTGGGGATTAAGGAATAAACCTAATCAAAGAGGTAAAGAATCTATACTCTAGGAACTACAGAACACTCATGAAAGAAATTGAAGAAGACACAAAAAGATGGAAAAACATTCCATGCCCATGGATCCGAAGAATAAACATTGTTAAAATGTCAACGCTACCCAGAGCAATCTATACCTTCAATGCTATCCCGATCAAAATTCCAATGACATTTTTCAAAGTGCTGGAACAAACAATCCTAAAATTTGTATGGAATCATAAAAGACCCCAAATCGCCAAGGAAATGTTGAAAAAGAAAAACAAAGCTGGGGACATCACGTTGCCTGATTTCAAGCTATATTACAAAGCAGTGATCACCAAGACAACATGGTACTGGCACAAAAACAGACATATAGACCAATGGAACAGAATAGAGAGCCCAGATATGGACCCTCAACTCTATGGTCAATAATCTTCAACAAAGCAGGAAAAAATATGCAATGGAAAAAAGACAGTCCCTTCAATAAAAGGTGCAGGGAAAATTGGACAGCTATATACAGAAGAATGAAGCTCGACCATTCTCTAACACCATACATAAAGATAAACTCAAAATGGATGAAAGACCTCAATGTGAGACAGGAATCCGTCAAAATCCTAGAGGAGAACATAGGCGGTAACCTCTTCGACATCAGCCACAGCAACTTCTTTCAAGACACATCTCCAAAAGCTAGTGAAACAAAAGCAAAAATGAACTTTTGGGACTTCATCAAGATAAAAAGCTTCTGCACAGCAAAGGAAACAGTCAAAAAAACAAAGAGGCAACCCACAGAATGGGAGAAGATATTTGCAAATGACACTACAGATAAAGGGCTGGTATCCAAGATCTATAAAGAACTTCTCAAACTCAACACCCAAAAAATAAATAATCAAGTCAAAAAATGGGCAGAAGACTTGAACAGACACTTCTCCAAAGAAGACATACAAATGGTTAACAGACACATGAAAAAATATTCATCATCATTAGCCATCAGGGCAATTCAAATCAAAACCACATTGAGATACCACCTTACACCAGTCAGAATGGCAAAAATTGACAAGGCAAGGAACAACAAATGTTGGAAAGGTTATGGAGAAAGAGGAACTCTCTTACACTGTTGGTGGGAATGCAAGTTGGTACAGCCACTTTGGAAAACAGTGTGGAGGTGCCTCAAAAATTTAAAAATAGAGCTACCCTATGACCCAGCAATTATACTCCTGGGTATTTACCCCAAAGACACAGATGTAGTGAAAAGAAGGGTCATATGCACCCCAATGTTCATAGCAGCCATGTCCGCAACAGCCAAACTGTGGAGAGAGCCGAGATGCCCTTCAACAGATGAATGGATAAAGAAGATATGGTCCATGTCTACAATGGCATATTACTCAGCCATCAGAAAGGATGAATACCCAACTTTTACATCAACATGGATGGGACTGGAGGAGATTATGCTAAGTGAAATAAGTCAAGCAGAGAAAGTCAATTATCATATGGTTTCACTTATTGGTGGAACATAAGGAATAGCATGGAGGACATTAGGAGAAGGAAGGGAAAAATGAAGGGGGGCGGGAATGGGAGGGAGAGATCAACCATGAGAGACTATGGACTCTGAGAAACAAACTGAGGGTGTTAGAGGGGATGGGGTGGGGGGGATGGGTTAGCCTGGTGATGGGTATTAAGGAGGGCACGTATTGCATGGAGCACTGGGTGTTATACAAAAACAATGAATCATGGATCACTACATCAAAAACTAATGATGTATTGTATGTATTGTATGGTGACTAATATAACATAATAAAATAAAATTTTAAAAAAATAGAATGCATCCCATCCTGGTTTGCAGAGGAGAAATTATTCTCCTTCCTCTTTGCCTACATATGCTACTCTTCAGTCCCAGAGGGAAGGGTCCCTCCTCCCTGTGATGGGAACACTGTTCTGTCACCTTCATCCTTCCCAACCCCACTGCTCATGTACTCGAGCTGGCAGTCCAGAAACCTGGAGTCATCCTTAACATTCTTTCTTTATATCCCACATTCAATTCTGCCTTCAGAATGCTGTGACCAGTGGTGGGATGGTAAATGTGAAACAATCTACTCTCAGAAAGGAAAAGAAGCCTGATTGGTAGTGCTTGTGGACTCCTGTGGTGTCAATACTTCCACTATGACCAATTACAGGCTAACAGTGTTTAACAACTCACTTGCAAAATTCCTGAAAAGCTCTCAGGAGTGAGTGCAAGTCTCCCCCCAGTAAGCTCCACCCAGAATCTGCACACTGCTCACTCCCAGGGCTGCTTCCACCAGCATCCCTTCCTGGACTATTGCTTTTTCTCTAACAGGCTCTCCAGTTTAAGCCACAGTGATTTTATGGAAATGGAAGTCAAACTGTGTCTCTCCTCTGCTTCTTCCCCCTATGCACCTGCATGACTCACTCACTCCCTCTTTCAAGCTCTGCTGACATATCACTTTATTAAAAGCCCTTTCCATAAACCACCTTATATAAGATATCAGTTCCTCTCTCACACTCTGTGTTCCCACAGCTCATAACCTAATTAAATTGTTTCCTTAGTACTTATGATTAGCTGACATGATAAGTGCTCACTTTGCACAATAGTGCAGGACAGAACAATGATGGTGCAGCTGAAACCATGCAAAGTCATCTCAATAATCAGTGGGAGAAAAACAATTTTTCTGTGACCTTTAAAAACATTTTTCAAAACACAGAAATTCTCCAACTGTCAGTTATGAATATATAGAGAAATGAAAAAACAATAAAACTATTATTTATTTGGTGTACTGTCATGTCAAACATTAGAAACACTGAAAAGGGAAGTGTTTTATTTTTTTATAAAGAGTCATCAAGAGTAGTGTGCACAGTGCTTGGCCTCTTCTGATCACATAGTTGACCATATAGAGCCAGCATCTGAATCACTCCAGTCTCAACTGGGATCAGCTTCCAACATTCCATCCCT